AGCTTTGATCGTAACAATTTTATGTCATTAAAGTAATGTAAAAACTAAAAAGAAATGGAGTTGCAAGCAAAAAAAAATTCCATGACTAAATCTAAAACCAAATGATTTCTTTACAAAAGGATGGATCACTACAAGTGACAAAGGTTTCAAGTCCGGATACATATGCCCCATGTATCTACCCAAAGCTTTTATTTAGAACGGATTCTATATAAAAACCATGACACTCAGTTGAATTCAATGATTTGTAATAGTCTGATACTATGTTATTATTCTAATTCAAACCCATATGTCGCGTCAGGATCTCTCCCAATTCAAAGTTTCTTTCTTGGAAATCTCAACCTTTTGTATGGTTTTTTAATTGAATCACTATTTGCGATCCAAGATCCTATTTTATCATCAGTTTAATTACAGTTTACGTTTTTTCTTTTTCTTATCTCTTTACTTGTACAACTTAGAAATCTCATTTTTTGTTTTCTACAAAATGATTCGATTGATGGGATATGATACTATGAGATCGATATCGTTAAATTATGTGAAATCATCTATAACAATTTCTCTGAATTCCCGTGATGAATTAACGAGGGCCGAGGCCTATATAAATTAAGATAAAAGTGTGATTTTTTTCTAGGGTAATTGGAACAAAATTAAGCCTGATGGGCCTAGAAAAAGGCCCATATAGAGACTGGAACTATACAAAAGCCCTTAATCGCTAGGTCCCCATTCCACTGCTCATAAATTCACCACGTCCCGTCCCACCGTACACTCACTGCATTCCGAAACCCTAACGTTTCCAGGTCGCCGATTCATCCACCAAAGAAAGCGTTTCTTACTTTTCCCGGTCATCACATGGCGGAGGAAGATATCGTCACTTACCCCGTGGAGCCGTCCGACCACAAACGCAAGCTTGAAGATGTTGAATCGGAGGTCCTCGAGCAACAAGCCGGCTCGCTTGGTCGGTCTAATGAAGTTTCTTTAGTCGATGGCGATAAAGGTTCTGATTATTCTCAGGCTAAGCGACCGAAGCTCGAAGATGAAGCCGCTGATGGTATAGGTATGCATCTTCTGATCCCTTAGCTTGTTACAAACTAGGGATTTGTGCGGATGCGATC